TTACAGTATACTCTATCCAGCTGAACTCTACTCTTTTTGACCCAATGGTAGGGATGTCAGTAGGGGGATTCAAACCTCTACCTTTCATAGGAGACCAATGACTTGATTCTACTAACCATTCATTCATTCAACAAACTTTATCTGAGTGCCTACGCAAGGTATTGGGAATTCAGAGGTGAATAAGACATGGTTCCTGCCCTCAGGGAGCTCACAGTCTAGTAGTAGAGACAGACTTGTAATTAGATGAATTACTATTCTGTGATTCCTGAGGAAGTTCATGTTGAATTGAGCCTTAAAGGATAAGTTAGATATATAAGCCTGGAGCACAGGAGAAAAATCTGGACTTTGGGAGCAGATGAGATCCCCAAGAGAAAGTATATAATAGGAAGAGTCCTAGAAAAAAATACAAAACAACAACAAACAAGCAAGCAAAACCAGTGATGTTTAAAGAGACTAGAGAGGTTGGTAGAAAATGAAAGCAGTGTTACAGATATTAAAGGAGAAAGAGTTTTCATTAGGAAAGGATGGCCAATAGTGTCAAATTCTGTAAAGAGATCAAGTCATACAAAGACAGGAGAGCGTCCATTGGATCCAGGAATATGGAGACCAGTGGTAACAGTAAGGGAATGACAAAGCAGGTTTAGGGGAGACCTTTTGACTGCTTGCATATGGGAGGTGAGGAAGAGTGGGAGGTTAAGGATGACTGTCGGGTTTCTGGACTGAGTGACTGGTGAGTGGTGGTTCCATTCACCAAGATGTGGAACCCAGGAGGAGCAGAGCAGGGAGACAGGGAAAGGGAAGGGATTCAGGTTTGGACACACTGAGCATGATGTACCTATGGGATACCCAAGTGGAGATGTCCAGTGGGCCTCTGGCTTTATGGGTCTAGAGCTCGAATTTCCTAGTTTGTAAATAAAATAGACTAACATGGCCAATTTTTTTTCTGTAGAAAACTCCATGCCATCTTTTCATTTTGCCCTTAACCAGGACCCATCGCTTAGATATTTTCTAATTTTCGGTATTTCTCTGTGATTTCTCAACTGATTTTATCTGAACCAGGAGCATGTGTACATGCAGTTTCTGTACCACACATCTGAAGCTGCTTCTGAGGAGAAACAGAAGAATTTACAGGTTAATAAAAAGTAACTGGAACAGCTCTTCTGTCTGTATTGAGCCTGTTGCCCATCTCCTTTCCATAACACTGATTTATTCTAGAATCTCCTCTTGTTATTGTTTACCTAAGGAAGAAGTGGAAGTAGCTTCGATGCTACCTCAATTATAACAGCATCTAATGTCAGTGTTTATAGACAATGATCTGATTCGATATGAAATAAAGGGCAAAGCAGCCTCAAATATTTAAATGATATGACTGAATTTGAACAGCAGTGTCTACCCTGGTCACTCAGGACAGGAATTGTAGCACCCATCCCTATGCCATACACACAGGGGGTCCTCAAGTCCTTTCGTGTGAAGGAGGGTCTGTGTCTAGGCATCCCTCTCTCCTTCTACAGATAATCTTATGTTCTTGCCAGTTTCTGGTCATGTAGTTTCCTACTCAAAGATAGTCTTTATGTTGTGTCCCTTGTAGTAAATGAAAACCCCAATCTTCGTAAAGAAAATTGTGTCAGTGGCTGGCCCTTTTCTCAATTCTCCATCAGACTGAATTTACTTATTTATTTATGTATTTAATTTTAAGATTTTTTTTGATGTGGACCATCTTTAAAGTCTTTATTGAATTTGTTACAATACTGCTTCTGTTTTATGTTTTGGTTTTTTGGCCACGAGGTATGTGGGGTCTTAGCTCCCCGACCAGAGATCGAACCCGCACCCCCTGCGTTGGAAGGCGAAGTCTTAACCACTGGACAGCCAGGGAAGTCCCCTGAATTTAGATATGATACTGGCAAGAGCAACAAGGTAAATGATCAATTTGTGATGTGTCTGGTCCAAGGGGGATTATTTTGACAGTCTGTTCTAACCATACAAGCAATGTTTCTAATAATAATAAAAAGTTTTATTAGATGTTGTCACAGATGTAAATGTTTCATAAAGTTATCACTCCAGTTGTAAATCATATACTTGAACTCATACTCAAGTCACCTCATTAAATACCAAGAAAAACTATGTCTTTCATATATCCTGGTCTCAAGTCACTTTAAAAAAGGAGTAAAACCAAAACACCAAACTCAAGCCCCAGCCATTTATGGCTGAACTTGAAGAGACTGAGAGGAATATGAAAATTTTTTTATCTCTTTCTTTAATCTTCCTTTTGAGATCATATCCTCCAGATTTGTCATTATCTTCCTAGGTCCATTAGATTCTTCAAAAAATAATAGAACTGGAGAAATGATCCAGACTCTAACAAAAAAAAATCTGATTTATTGAGGAACAATTTATATACGATAAAATTTATCCTTTTAAGTGTGCAGTTCTGTGAGTTTTGAAAAACACATACGATCATGTAACTATCACCACAATCAAGATACAGAACATTTTAATCACTCCAAAAAATCCTCCTGTGTCCCTTTTTTTTTTTTTTTTTTGCAGTACGCGAGCCTCTCACCATTGTGGCCTCTCCCGTTGCAGAGCACAGGATCCGGACGCGCAGGCTCAGCGGCCATGGCTCATGGGCCTAGCCACTCCGCGGCATGTGGGATCTTCCTGGACCGGGGCTCGAATCCGTGTCCCCTTCATCAGCAGGTGGACTCTCAACCACTGCGCCACCAGGGAAGCCCTATGTGTCCCTTTGTAGGTAGTCCCTTCCCCACCTCAGGCTCCTGGCAACCACAAACCTGTTTTCTGTTTATATAGTTTTGCCTTTTCCAGAATGTCATATAAACAGAATCACATAGCAACGCAGCCTTTTGCAGACAGACTCTTCGCTTTTAAAATTAACATTGTTTTTCAGGTAACAAAGATTAATACATGTTCATCGTAGAAAAATGAAAATATTTAAGAAACAAGGAGATATAAAAATGCTTCCCAAAGAGAACTATTGTAAATGTTTGTATGTGTTTCCTTCCAGTCTTTTTTCTGTATGTGCATTATGAACTCCCACATACAGAAACAAACAAGTACAAGATTGGAATCCTACTGTATACAGGATTTGGGATTTTTATTTTGGATGTTTAAAATAAATATGTTTAAAATAAATATATCCTAGGCATATATCCAGAAAAAATGAAAACTGTAATTCGAAAAGGTATACACACCCCAATGTTCATAGCAGCACTATTCAAAGTAGCCAAGACATGGAAGCAACCTAAATGTCCATCAACAGATAAATGGATAAAGAAGATGTGGTATACAATGTTCATTGCAGCACTATTTACAATAGCCAGGACATGGAAGCGACCTAAGTGTCCATCCACAGATGAATGGATAAAGAAGATGTGGCACATATATACAATGGACTATGACTCAGCCATAAAAAGAAATGAAATTGAGTTATTGGTAGTGAGGTGGATGGACCTAGAGTCTGTCATACAGAGTGAAGTAAGTCAGAAAGGGAAATACAAATACCGTATGCTACACATATATATGTAATCTAAAAAAAAAAAAAGGTTCTGAAGAACCTAGGGGCAGGACAGGAATAAAGACGCAGACTTAGAGAATGGACTTGAGGACACGGGGAGGGGGAAGTGTAAGCTGGGACAAAGTGAGAGAGTGGCATGGACTTATATACACTACCAAACGTAAAATAGACAGCTAGTGGGAAGCAGCCGCATAGCACAGGGAGATCAGCTGGGTGCTTTGTGACCACCTAGAGGGGTGGGATAGGGAGGGTAGGAGGGAGACGCAAGAGGGAGGAGATATGGGGATATATGTATATGTATAGCTGATTCACTTTGTTATAAAGCAGCAACTAACACACCATTGTAAAGCAATTATACTCCAATAAAGATGTTAAAAAAAAGATGTGGTATGTATGTATGTGTATATATATATACACATACACACACACACACACACACACACTGGAATATTACTCAGCCGTAAAAAAGAATGAAATAATGCCATTTGCAGCAACATGGATGGACCTAGAGATTATCATCCTAAGTGAAGTAAATCAGAGAAGGACAAATATCATATGATACCAGTTATATGTAGAATTTTTTAAAGTGATACAAATAAACTTATTTACAAAACAGAAATAGACTCACAGACATAGAAAACAAACTTATGGTTACCAAAGGGGAAAGGGGGTGGGGGAGGGATAAACTAAGAATTGGCGATTAACAGATACACACCACTATATATAAAATAGATAAACAGGGTCCTACTGTATAGCACAGGGAACTATATTCAATATCCTGTAATAACCTATAATGGAAAGGAATCCGAAAGAGAATATATATGTATAACTGAATCACTTTGCTGTATACCTAAAACATCGTACATCAACTATACTTCAATTAAAACAATATTGTGAGCATTTTCTTAAGGATTAACTCTTTCTTGAGGGTTGGAGGCAAGAGCCCAATCAGCAGGCTCAGGAATGGACAAGAAATAGCAGCAGAATCACCATGACCCAGAGGAAGAAGATCCAGAGCTGCCTTTGCAGGCCCTGTGCCCTCTGTATTTGGTTTCCTGGCTGCTGAGTTCCATTTGTTTTCATCAAAGCCTATTTTTTGTTGTTGTCGCTGGCTTGTTCTCAGACTAAAACAAACATACTCCCAGGATGAGTTCAGTGCCCGTTCCTCTGGGGCCCAACAGCAGAGAACTTTCCACACCATATGACAATTGCTCATTTATTTTGTCCATCTCCCCCAGTAGATGGTGCACCCCTCGGGCCCAGGCACCGTTGTCTTATTCGTCTCATTTTCCCCATACCTGTGGCATATTAGTCAGCCAAGAGGAGACACTAAGAATGCCATGAATGAACAAATGCACGAACCAAGATGAAACATTCTCTTCATAGGACTGGTTGCTGCCACTCATTTTTTCTTTTTCCCTCTCTTCTGCTTTACACTCAGAAGAGGAAGGGGAAAAAATACCTTTGGGGGCATTATTTTTGGTGGCCATCACAGAAGGTGTGGCTTTTGCTTTCAGATGCCTTGGTATTTCTGATTCACAGCTACACAGTCTGGCAAGATAGCCAACTGACGCCTTTTCACATTGCCAGGGCGTGCCTCGTGCGTTGTCCTGTGGAACCAGTCCAAAGTGGCATTGTCAAGGAGATGTAAACTGCAGAAAATGGACCTGGCCAGGAGGAAGAAAGAGGCAGTCTGCTCAGAGTGGCGGTTGACGGGCACCCAGACCTGTGAGTGATTAGCTCATGCTTTTCGACGGTCAGGTCAGTCCTCGTCCCGGCTGCCCTTCTGGGGATAGGGAGAAAATGGATAGGGTCTGTGTTAAAGAGCTAGGGTAAGGTGAGAAGAGTGAGGGTGAGGGGAGACAGAAGGCAGAGTTAAGACCATTCTCGTTTCCCTCTTTGATCCTAATCATTTGATACTTTTCACATGGAATAGTAATAATAACAGTTGCCGCTTATTGAGTACCTCGTATGGGCCAGGGACAGGGTTAAGCCCTTCCCACGCATTGCTTTGCTGAATCTTCACAAGCATCCTCTGGTGTAAGAGCTATTATTGTGTCTCTTTTACAGGTAAGCAAGAAATTGAGGCTAGAAGAGGTTCAGTGAATGTCCGAGGTCACAGGGCTGCTTAGTTCCAGTGCCTGGGAACAGTGACCACTCTATCCGTGGTGGCTGTTACGGATATTATCTCTACTCTTAATCGGAAGAGATGGCTGGTGCCATGGGCTCAGAGGTCCAAAGGAGGCTCTGAGATGCCGACCCTCGTGGGCCTTCCGGAGCTCACCAGCTCAACGGGCATGAGGCCCCTGACTCCCCTTTCTGCCTCTTTGAGGTTCGGGAAGGTGGCTCCTTGGGTGGTGGGAAAAGTGATGCCGTGCTTGTGTTTGGCTCCTTGTTGGTTCCCACAAATGCCCTTCACATTTTCCATTTTCTGAGTGCTTTTGTGAAACAGCTATGATGTGGTTGACAGTATTTGTAGCCGGAGCCAAGTCAAGACTTCCTCTAGAGGAAAGCTGGAAGCTTTTAAAGGTCTCGTCAGTGCTCACGTAGCCCACAGGCCTCTTCTCGGTGGTCGCCGTATCATTAAAAAATGCGCTCATTGATGCCCACGCTGCTTCTCCGGCCGGAAAACCAGCACCGTATCAGCCTGGCTGGGCCTCACCAGGGCCTTCCTGTCTCCAGGGAGGCCTGTGCTGGAGCCTCCAATCCACCCGTGATGCTCTTCGTGGTTTAGGGACTGCTCAAGATAATTTCCTTTTCCGTCTTTTCTGCAGTTTTTTTTTTTTTAACCAGGACCCAGGAGAATCTTTGAAACTTAAAATCACCCACGTGCCAGGAATCCCCACAGCCTCCTTGGGAGGGGTAGATGAGCACCATATGCTGTTTATAGAAAAATAAATGGCTTCCCCCCATGAAGCACATGGGCCTGAATCACTGGCTAACCCCTCTTTTACCTTAGCAGCTGGAACAAGGCCCCTCTGGATGAGGATGCAGATGCAGAGAGCAATTTGCCTTGAAAAAGCCCCAAACAGTTTGTGTGAGAGCCACGTCTCCTAGAGAGGCAGGTGGTAGGCAGGCCAGTAGCCCCCGTGGGGGGCCAGCCGAGGGAGGCAAGAGAAGAAGGCAAACAGGTAGCGCCCTACAATGACCTACCGCCTCCCCAAGCAGACTTTCAGAGGGGTCCCCCGCATCCTCATGACCCCTCGCAACATCGGGAGCCCCAGGGATGGTGGGGGAGGGGAGAAGGGAATCTCTTTTCTTGGACTTCAAACACCGTAAGGCGTGGCTTAGGCAGTAGCTGTTCATTCATTCATTCATCTGTCGAGTGATTATTGAGCAGCTACCAACCGTTTGTCCCCAGTGATGACCCAACCAGGACACTGGGCCAAAACTAAACGTCTGGAAGTGAGACAGGCTGAAACTCGACAGCCCGGGCAGCTAGTTAGCGACTAGCTAACTAGCTAGTTAGTTAGTTAATGTCAGCTGCTACATTTCAGTTGAGTTCCATTCATTCAGCAAACAATTCCTGAGCCTCTACCGCATTCCAGACACTGTGCTAGGCACTTGGGTTATCTGAAGGGAGAACCCCGGCTCCAAGCAAAGGGCGTTTCAGATAACAGTAGCTAACATTTACTGAGTGCTTACTATGTGCCAAGAGCTATGCTGAGTGCTCCCCATTCCTTACCTCTTCAAATCCTCATTCCACAGCTGACAGGGAAGTCTACACAGATGCGGAAAACTGAGGCTCAGATTCCACCGACTTGCTCCAGGTCACCTAGCCAGAAAGTGGCAGAGGTAAGCTTGAAACATCCAAGTGAGACCAGATGCCTGAGGCTGTGTTCCTTGTGCGTGGCTGCCTGCTTCCGGGGGCAGTCCGCTGCAGCCCTGAGTCCAAATTGGGCCCACCGCCTGCCTGTTTTTATATTGCCTGAGAGCTAAGAATGGCTTTTACATTTTTAAATGGTTGAGAAAAATCAAAAGCAGACTATTTCATGACATGCGAAAATTATATGAGGTTCAAATCTCGGTGTCCATCTGTACAGTTTTATTGAGACACTGCCACACACATTCATTTATCTATGGTCTAAGACTTTTCCACTCCCAACGGCAGAGTTCAGGAGTTATGACGGAGGCCTTAACAAAGTCAAAAACGCCATCTGGCTCTTTACAGGAAGAGTTTGCCAATCCCCTGGCCTTATAGGTCACTGGCAGAAAAGGAAGCAGCTCTTAGCCCTTGTCTGAACTCAGGTGGCTTCCAGAGCCCTGGCCTCCCACCCCAGCCTCCTAGCAGCTCAGGGAGCCTCAAGCGAGCATGTCCACCGTGGCCGCATTTGATTTATTTTCAGCCCTTCCTTCAAAGTCTGTGAGGCCTGAAATGTTTAGGGTAGTAATAGAATTTTCCTCAAATGTTTAGATGAAAATGGAGACGGCAGATCTGGGGTTCTTGGTGAGCAAAGCCCTGAGAGCAGTCCTGCTGGTCTTTGCTGAGAGGCGCCAAATTATCTCAGGCTCCCCTGGGAGCGGCCTGCAGGGCCTTATATGGGCATAATCTCCGGGCTTGTCTCCCTCTGCAGTATGGTCAGACCCACTTTTAAGGTGATGTGTGAACATTTCTGGTTTTCCCAGTTGCTTAAGCTGTGGGGAATTTAACTTCTGCTGCCCTTGCAGGAAACATGAACGCTGTCAACTTCTGCACACATCTTATTTGTCCAGGAAAGATGACAACTGCCTTCTTTCTGGCTTTCATCTCCCTTCTCATTTGTCTGTACACAGAGGGAAGCATTTTTGCAAGCCGTGTAATGGGGGAAATGCCGCTTCGTTATCCTAGCTGTTTCCTGGGATTAGTGTGTTTGAAGAGATGTCGATAAGAAACATTTACGGCACGCCTCTAGGCGATGGTGACGTGTGGGACATTCGAGGTGTATTATGTTACTCAGACCTCACGGCATTCATTCATTCAACAGGTATTTATTAAATGCCAACTAAATGCCAAGTCCTGTTCTAGGCCAGGGCTACAACACTGAATAGCATTGCCCCTCGTGGAGCTAACCCTTTAGTGGGAGAGGCAGACCATAAACAAAGAAAGAAATATCACAAATCGTTACAGATTGTGATGAGTGACATAAAGCCAAAGAACGGTGAGCCAAGACAGACTAATGGGGAGACCTACCCGAGACTGTGGGTCCAGGGATAGCCTCTCAGAAGAGGAGACATTGAGGGTGAGACCCGAAGGATAAGAAGGAGATGTCTGGGAGACTCTCAGTAATTGGACTGGAAGAGTTGGGTTAAAGTTCATGAAGGAACTATGCCAATGACTCACTTGACTGGAGCTTCACACTGAGGAACCCAGGACTACAGATTGTTGTGTTCTAGAGACCTTAACCTGGAGCCGTAACTTAAGCAAGCCCTGGAAAATATAGCTGTGGTTCAAAGGAGAACACCTGGGCAATATGGAGCTCTTTCCCACGAACCCAGCACTGTCTAGGCTCTGGAGATCCAGAGATGTATCAGACAGCAAGGAGCTCTTGATCTGGTGGAAGAAATCAGTCATTTAATCGAACAAATGACTCAACAGTGTGGTAAATACCATGGGAGAAATATGTACAAAAGAGCCCTAAGTAGCACAGCAGACGGGGTGCCGAACATATTTGGGAGGGTCAGGGAACAGACAAAGGAGGCTGAATTTTCACTTTTTTCATTAAAGTGTAGTTGATTTACAATATTATGTTAGTTTTGGGTGTACAAAACAGTGCTTCAATATTTTTGTAGATTATCCTCCATTTAAAATTACTATAAAACATTGGCTGTATTCCCTGTGCCGTACAATATATCCTTGTAGCTTATTTATTTTGTACATATAAGGAGGCTGAATTTTGAAGGGCAGGAAGGGCCTCCTAGAACAAGGAACCCCATGAGCAAAGGCCCAGAGACATGAAACCACATGGCCCTGAGCCTTTGGGGAATTAGAAGTCACTGTGTCATGTATTTTTGAGTCTGGAGTACAAGATAGAGAGTGGTGGGCCTTGAGGTTGGAGATTCCAGCGGGAGCAGGTCACGGGAGGGCTTTGCGAATAAGTGTTGGGGATTTGGGCTGTACTAAAGGTATGTAAACACAAGAAAGAGATCTCCCCATCAATTTGCCTTGATAATGCCCCTCTTGTTACCTAATCCACTGCTTTAGACTCGATTTTCTAGGAAGCTATGGTATTTCAAAGAAACTGCCTGATCCTTTTCTAGACAAATTTCATGCTTTTGGAAGTAGCTTTTTCCCCCTAAGTAATTTCTACTTTTCTTACAACTTTTCAAAGCATCTACCATATGGTATTTCTCCCAAGTGAGAGATTATTACCCCCTTTATTTGGGGCAGGGGAAAGCTGAAATGAAGTCATCTGGCCACTGGAGTGACAGCTGCAAGGGGCTATGTGCTCTGGGGTGGGGGCAGTGGCAGCCGCCCATGGCTCCCTTCCCTTTTCCCTTGCTTCCCATTATATAAGAGCATTTTTGCAGCGATGAGCTCGGGGCTTGTTCTGAATATTTTAGGTGTCGAGCATCCTGTTTTTCTCTGAGTAATGTGACCCTGTCAATGACCCACTGCATTTCAGAATGACATCATGGGATTAAACTGAGAATGGTTGAAGAGAAGTGATTATAGGCGTCTAGGGATCGCAGCTTGTCCCTTTACCTTTCAGCAAGTTTGGAGATGCTGAACAAGAAGAAATCTGCAAATGAGCATTTGCTTAGCAGAGGGCAGGGGTCACCAGGTATGGACTGCAGGCCAAATCCAGCCCACAGAGCCAATCGGGCCCAGGCTGCTTTTGCAAATAAAGTTTTATTGGCACTTAGCCATGCTCATTGGTTTGCATATGGTCTGCGGCTGCTTTCGCACCACAAAGGCAGGATTGAGCCTGTGTGACAGAGCCCACAGGGCCCATGAAGCCAAAAATATCCACTATCTGGCCCTTATGGAGAAAGTCTCCCCCTCAAGACAAGAGCATGTGACTTTAGTGGCCTCCCCCATCCCCTGCCCGTCCTCCCCAAACACCTGGCACCACAAAAAAGTAGAGATTGATTTTTAACAAGCATATCAGAGCTTTCATATTTCTTCAATGACATCAGAACTTTTATGTTCATTAACTGAGTGTTGCCCTTCCAAGAGGCTCGGGACATTGCACACTGCTGCCGATGCTGCTGCCAGCGTGCGTGACCTCACGGGGGCGCTCTTAGAGGAAAGTTATGTGACACCTGAGAAAACCCCTTTCACCTTCTTTATTGGGACCCAAAGCTAGCACAGCCTTGTTGGAATATGTGCCTCGTGGCCATGGATCAAATGTTGACCGGGTGTTTAAAAAATTCCATCTAGCACTCAGATTATCCCAAGAAATTGGCTGCAGGGTCTGAAGGTCATTTCCTAAAAGGTGCTCCGCACACGAATTCTTCACAGGCAAGTTTGCCTCACCCAAGGAATTGAGAGTCGAGGTTATATTTTACAAACACTTTGGGGGATTTTGCTGCATGTTTTCTGCACTTGGCCCATTTGATTTCTCAGAAAATGACCCCTCAGCATGTGGCTTTCTCCTCCCTATTTAGGGACTGCTTCTCTACTTCAGAGGCCTTTCCCATCCGCCCCGCATTTCCCCATCTCTTTACGGCTGCTGGCAGTGGATTTTACTGTGGCTTGGTGCATTGGACCCATTCGGCTAAAAACAGCCTGGGCTAAGGGCTGAGGGAGTCCTTTGCCCAGTTCCATGTCTCACAGCCAAGTCTGGATGGGAAAGAGTCCCCTGGGGGCCAGGATGTGGGATGCTGGGAGAGAGTGGAGACAGTGGGCATGGCAGCCTTTGGTGGTCCCTCTTGTCTCCCAGAGTGCTGTGTGCTCTGGGCTGCTGTGCCGGGGCAGGGCTAGAGTTTGGTGGTTTCTGCAGACCATGAAATGCTTTCTCATTTTCCTTTAAACTCATTCTGTGACAGGGATATTGTGTGGCCAGCCCTGAAGCAAAAAGATAACCAGTTCAGCAAGTTGCTTTTTCTGTGGTTGTCCTTTCTTTCTTTTTTTGTTTTTCCAAGAGCCACCGCCTCCCACACAAAATGTCTACATTTCCTGAGCTCACAGTGGCTTTGCTGATTTCTGCGCTGCCAGAGTCTCAGGCGCCGTCCTTTGAGGGGAGTTCCTCAGCTCCGTGTCTGTACTTCTACCTCCCATTAAAGTAAATGCGCTTGCGTGATGGAGTGTGATCAAGTGGATTACTAAGAAGCGAAGAGGTGCACTGTTGGTGGGAATGGAAGCTGGTGCAGCCACTATGGAGAACAGTATGGAGGTTCCTCAGAAAACTAAAAATAGAATTACCATATGACCCAGCAATCCCACTACTGGGCATATCTCCTGACAAAACTCTAATTCAAAAACATACCTGCACCCCTATGTTCATAGCAGCACTATTCACAATAGCCAAGACATGGAAGCAACCTAAGTGTCCATCAAAAGAGGAATGGATAAAGGACATGTGGCACATATATACAATGGGATACTACTCAGCCATAAAAAAGGAATGAAATAATGCCATTTGCGGCAACATGGATGGACCTGGAGATTATCATACTAAGTGAAGTGAATCAGACAGAGAAAGACGAATACCATATTATATCGCTTATATGTGGAATCTAAAATATGACACAAATGAACTTATCTACAAAACAGAAACACAGTCACAGAGAACAGACTTGTGGTTGCCAAGGGTGAGGGAGGGGTGGGGGAGGGATGGACTGGGAGTTTGGGGTTAGCAGATGCAAACTATTGT